GTTACCTGCCTGCTGGCTAGAGTTCAACACCGAACCTCAGCTTGGACCGGGTGGTGGCGCTGGGATTGGAGCGGGAATGTGAAAGGAGAGAGCTGCTCTGGTGATGTCAGCAGCAGCAGCACGACTCCATAAAGCTCCTCTTCGCCCGATGCTGGCAGCTTTCATCGTTAGTGTGGTGTATTTAAATGCTGCAGATCCAGTCAAGGAACAGCAGAGGTGGGTGGAACGTTTGTGGGACCAGAGAGGGTGAAGCTTGGATCAGTGAACACACACCTCTGGCATCAGAGCTGAGGTTCCTATGAACCAGCACCATCTCAACCTCAGATCACATCTTTCCCTGTTCTACTTAATAAAAAAGAGCTTCAGGACCGTTTTAGTGACTTTAACCCATGCTTCACTACGGCTCCAGCAGACCGAGCTGCTGCTGCTGCTGCTGCTGCTGCCCAGCAGGTTGTTGCTCTCCAGCGCTGACTCCGGTCCCTCAGCCAGCAGATCCCAGCTCTCCCACAAAGACTATTTCACATGTGAATAAGGAAAAGCCAGAGTGGTGTGACAGCTCTGCGTGATGTTCAGGGGCCCGGGTGAACCACTAAATCTCATTAGAAACCTTTTAATTCAGCAGATATGAAAACGTCTGGTGTGACTTAAAGCCGTTTCTGTAACTGACGCAGCAATTAGGAGCAGTTTGCAGAAACTGGTCATGTTTGCCCAGAGTGCATCGCCCATGGCACAAGTGAATTAACAGATGTATTATTCTCATAAGTGTGCATGTGTGTGTGGGGGGGGTGGGGGGATGGGGCTCATGCCCCAGTTTAAATGACTTTATGGTGATAAACCATGTCCAGCAGCAGGAACCGGGTCTGGGGGTCCTACTATACCTCGTCCCACAATGAAAGCAGACAGACCTCTTCATCGGCCCCGTGAAATGGGAGGGGCCTAAACAGGAAACTTGTAAAACTCTTGTTCTGATGGGTGAGACAAACCTCTGATCCACCAAACTCCTCCGACTCTGATCGGTGATCCTTGAGTATTTTTGAACTCCGTATTTCCCAGTGAAGGAATTCCCAGCGTGTCGGACTTGAAACACCTGATCTGTGGATCGGTGTGCTGCTCTGGCCCCGTTTCAGGCAGCAGACTGCTGGCTGCAGACCAGACAGATATGCAAGGCAACACGACAGAGTACACAGTGTGCTTCTCATTGTCCAACCCCTGGAATGTGCTGACGGCGCAGGGTTCACACTGGTTCAGTCACACTGTTGCACCGCTGCCTCGGGCCTCTCAGACTCTCGTGCTCACCCAGCTATTTTTGCACGTTACACTTTTGCAAGTTTGTCAGTTATGCAAAGTTTCTGGGGCTCGCGCCAGCAGAGATATCATCAGGAAACTTCGACGTGGAAGCACAGCCACGCCTCAGACAGATGAATGAGTCAGTGTGAGAGCAGCCATTTGCTTCCCACAATTCCTCCTGAGTGTGAACGGGGTTGAAATCAGCCGAGTCAAAAATAGAATACAGGTGCTGGCCAGTAAATTAGAATATCATCAAAAGGTTGAAAATATTTCAGTAATTCCATTCAAAACGTGAAACTTGTACATTATATTCATGCAATGCACACAGACCAATGTATTTCCAATGTTCATTACATTTAAATTTGATATTCATAAGTGACAACTAATGAAAACTCCAAATTTGGTATCTCAAAAAATTAGAATATTCTGAAAAGGCTGAATATAGAAGACACCTGCTGCCACTCTAATCAGCTGATTTACTCAAAACACCTGCAAAGGCCTTTAAAAGGTCCCTCAGTCTTGTTTTGAAGCCACCACAATCATGGGGAAGACTTCTGACTTAACAGCTGTCCAAAAGACAATCATTGACACCTTGCACAAGGAGGGCAAGACACAAAAGGTGATTGCTAAAGAAGCTGGCTGTTCGCAGAGCTCTGTGTCCAAGCACATTAACAGACAGGCGAAGGGACGGAAAAAATGTGGTAGAAAAAAGTGTACAAGCTCTAGGGATAACCGCACCCTGCAGAGAATTGTGACGACAAACCCATTCAAAAATGTGGGGGAGATCCACAAAGAGTGGACTGCAGCTGGAGTCAGCGCTTCAAGAACCACCACGAGGAGACTCATGAAAGACATGGGATTCAGGTGTCGCATTCCGTGTGTCAAGCCACTCTTGAACAAGAAACAGCGCAAGAAGCGTCTCGCCTGGGCCAAGGACAAAAAGGACTGGACTGATGCTGAGTGGTCCAAAGTTATGTTTTCTGATGAAAGCAAGTTCTGCATTTCCTTTGGAAATCAAGGACCCAGAGTCTGGAGGAAGAGCGGAGAAGCACAGAATCCACGTTGCATGAGGTCCAGTGTAAAGTTTCCACCGTCAGTGATGGTGTGGGGTGCCATGTCATCTGCCGGTGTTGGCCCACTCTGTTTCCTGAGGTCCAGGGTCAATGCAGCCGTCTACCAGGAAGTTTTAGAGCACTTCATGCTTCCTGCTGCTGACCAACTTTATGGGGATGCAGACTTCACCTTTCAACAGGACTTGGCACCTGCACACAGTGCCAAAACCACCAGCACCTGGTTCAAGGACCATGGTATCCCTGTCCTTGATTGGCCAGCAAACTCGCCTGACCTTAACCCCATAGAAAATCTATGGGGTATTGTGAAGCGGAGGATGCAATACGCTAGACCCAACAATGCAGAGGAGCTGAAGACGACTATCAGAGCAACCTGGGCTCTCATAACACCTGAGCAGTGCCACAGACTGATCGAGTCCATGCCACGCCGCATTACTGCAGTTATTGAGGCAAAAGGAGCCCCGACTAAGTATTGAGTGCTATACATGCACATTCTTTTCATGTTCATTCTTTTCAGTTGGCCAACATTAGAGAAACAAACATTTTTTCATTGGCCTTTAGAATATTCTAATTTTCTGAGATACCAGATTTGATGTTTTCATTGGTTGTCACCTATAAATATCAAAATTAAATGTAATGAACATCGGAAATACATTGGTCTGTGTGCATTGCATGAATATAATGTACAAGTTTCACGTTTTGAATGGAATTACTGAAATATTTTCAACCTTTTGATGATATTCTAATTTACTGGCCAGCACCTGTAAATACTAACAGCAATGGGAGGAAGGAGAGCAGAGAAGGATAAAACACCTGTGTGGTCTTCAGGTAAACAGCCACTGGAGCCAAAAGCAGCTAAAATCTGAGAATTGTTCCTTTCAGCCAAGTCCGAGTCAGAAGACAGAAGAACAATCAGGCTGGATTTATTATTTAGAAACAAATGGCGTCAATTAGGTGATCAGAGAAAAGAATCTGGACCAGGAGCACCAACACAAAAACCAGCTTTGGTTAGTTTTCAGTCAGACATCTCCTTGTTTTGCCCTTATTCATTCATGTAGAGCTCAACTACTGACACCTGAGGTCGCGGGTGTTAGCTGATATTCTTTTGGTCGGACTGAAAACTTTAGAAGCACGGTTGGACTTCACAAACGACACAGTCACTGCTCAGCCGCTCCTGTTTAGGTCATCAGAACTTCTGTGTGTGTGTGTGTGTGTGTGTGTGTGCGTGTGTGTGTGTGTGCATGTGCGTGTGTGTGTGTGTGTGTGTGTGTGTGTGTGTGTGTGTGTGTGTGTGTGTGCGTGTGTGTGTGTGTGTGTGTGTGTGTGTGCGCGTGTGTGTGTGTGTGTGTGTGTGTGTGTGTGTGTGTGTGTGTGTGCGCGTGTGTGTGTGCGTGTGTGCGTGCGTGCGTGCATGCGTGTGTGTATGTGCGTGCGTGCGTGTGTGCGGGTGTGTGTGTGTGTGTGTGCGTGCATGTGTGTGTGTGCGTGCGCGTGTGTGTGTGTGTGTGTGTGTGCGTGCGTGCGTGTGTGTGTGCGTGCGTACGTACGTGTGTGCGCGTGTGTGTGCGTGTGTGTGTGTGTGTGTGTGTGTGCGTGCGTGCGTGCATGCGTGTGTGTATGTGCGTGCGTGCGTGTGTGCGCGTGTGTGTGTGTGTGTGTGTGCATGTGTGTGTGTGCGTGCGTGCGTGCGTGCGTGCGTGCGTGCGTGTGTGTGTGTGTGTGTGAGTGTGTGCGCGTGCGTGTGTGTGTGTGCGTGCGTGCGTGTCACCCACTGTGTAAAGTGCTTTAGGTACCATTAAAAACTCATGATGCGGTTCGTCCGGTTTCCACAACCTAATTAAAAAAGTTAAGACAATGAAAATACTCATGAAGAGAAGTGTACGTTCCAGCTAGTTTGGTCTAGACATGATTTAAAAAAGGAACCAATGAACCCCAAGTCCCAAAGTGAATAATCAAACGCTCACTGAGCCAGTGCTGGCCGTGTGTGGGCATCCGCGAGAGGGGCAGAGTTGTGTGAGATGATGGTCGTTTGCTAATCAGTGAACTGTTCTAGTAGAAGAGTGATTTTTCTTCTCGGGGTGGTCATTAATTATGTAGCGAGCAGGATGGTGTGGCCTCCTTCGCAAAGGAGTGTAAACAACACAACCATCGTCTCTCTCATCTTCACATCTAGTCCAACCAACTGACTACAAACCCACAAGTGCAACAATCTGCATCGTGATATTCACCAACATCCAAACCAGGTTTAAAAGCCTCCTCAAATCAAAGCCCCAACCTAAAAATGTGAAAAGAGGATGCAGAGTAAATGAGCAGCAGCGTTCCAAATCCCTGCTTCAGCGTGGAGAGAAGCAGGCAGAATAAAGACAGAAAAAGAGACAGACAGACGGGAAGCGCATTAATAAAACATGACTGCATGATTTTCCAACCCCAAAGAGATGAACACAGGAAGGCACACTCCCAACGCCGCAGCTGAGTTCAGCACCGGGTAAAGGGAGCAGCATCTCTAACTAGCTCAGCACTGCAGTGCACTTGTTTAAGCCGCGCACCACGGCAACACCCTCTGATCACACCTACCAGCTCTGATCCTAGAAGCATCTTCTGTCCATCATTAACCTTTTCTGCATGTCGTCCCTGTTTCTGCAGGAGGGAGTTCATGGAGACATGGGCTTGTCAGAGAGACTAAGATCTAACCGAAGATGATGAAGACGACGATCGCCAAGTCTGCAGGGCTTCCCAAAGGCATCCAAACCTGCAACCTTTCCTCAAAATATTTTTTGATTCCTTGCAACAACTAAGTGGCAATGAATTAGACATGGAGATGCTCCACAAGCTCTAAGTGCAAACTCACAAAGAACTGTGTACCTTCGTCTCATTGATGGATGCAGATTGGATTATTTAAAATCATAATCGTGATTATTTTTGGTAAATATTAAACTCAAGGTTATTTAACAAATAATACTAAATAACATCTAGTTCTCACGTCTGACCAAAAACACACCACAGCAGCACAGCTCATCCAAATCAGAGCGTCAGAGAGCACTACACGTTTACCACCTATGCTGTAGATGCTGCCTTCACTTACATCACCAACAGGCTTCCAGTTGAGTAAAACCGAAAATATCCAGACTTCACACAACAGACGCTGCAGACAAAGACACTTGACAATAAAATGAATTTTTACTGTTGTTGTATATTGAATGTGTTCATTTTAATCTATGTGAAACAAGCAAACCCTGGTGCCTACAGGGAACATTCAACGCTGTCGGTGAGTTTGTGGTCTGACAAAAACCATTGACCGTTGACTGTACCCTGAGGGACACCTAAAGCACAAGATCCAGTTCTAGGTCCAAAACCAACGATCAGTGGAGCAGAGGTTTCATTCAAGGCTGCAATAAACATTCATTGCTGTCGGTGGGTTTATACTAGAATAACTCACTGATCAATGAATGCAGACTGCGGTTCAAACACTCCTGGCAATGATGCACACTAACAGGAAGGTGAGCAACTCACCCAACCCAGGGTGCAGGTAAACCTGTACACGGGTTTGTGTGCATACTAATACAGACACAGCAATCCCCGTTCAGGTGTTGCAAAGTCCAGATGTTAAGCTTTTGGTATGAATAAAGAGTTTGTAAGTATTCCAGTGTATAGATATGTAGCTGGAGTCAGAAGGTTTTATCCTGTTATCATTGATCTGAACAGTGATTTTCCAAATGTGGTAGATTTCTGGCTGATTTTTTCATTTTTATGGTCATAACTGGTAGAGTTCATTTAAACTGGTTGGTTTCCTGGTTCTGACTCAGCTTTTAGCCCTAAATGCCCAATCAGGTTGAGGTGTGACCTTTAAGAAAGGCCAATCTAGAAGCTAATCTCATCCTGTATTATGTCCAATCAAATGCCAGCTCTAAAGTCTGGGGTCATGGAAGCGCAGCGACGTTGGGAGGTCAAATGGCCACAAAGGACTCGCTACTCCGCTCAACGTTGCTTAGAAAATCACGCGATAGTCACAACATCACAGGACTTGAAAACAGGAAGCGGAAAGTGACTTTTGTTTATGCGTGGTCAGACTTGCCGTCGTGTTTTGTGAGACTGTAATTCATTAACTCATTCACTGCCATTAACGACTAAAGTCATCATTTGCATTTTTTTTTACTGTGTGGGAGTTGGAACGAGCCCGCGCACCGTGAGAACAAACATCCTAGCTCTAAAGCCGATCTTCATCCACGTACGTCACATGACCAGGAAGCAGAAAATCCATGTGTTAGGAAATCGTTTTGGGCCGCTGCTGTAAAAAAAGTGAGGCGCGAACCGGAACAGCTTCTGCCGATCACAATTAAACAACTGATTATGAAAGAACGGATAACACTCAAAACGCGCGGATTCTTCCTGATGTAAGAGGTGAGTCTCCTCTTTGTTCTGTTAGTCTTGGCGTTAAAATCATTGTAGCGCGCAACGTTCTGTGGCTCTTAACAAAAACTGCGAAAACGCTGAAAAACGCTGGCAGCAAAGGGCTTTTCTGATGAGAAAATGGCTGGCAGTTAATGAGTTAAAAATGGGTAAGTACGCTATTTATTAGGGGCGTAACGGTACGCTAAACTCGTATTCGGTTCGGTTTAATGTTTTGAAGGGCTTGGTTCGATTAATTTTCGGTATGTTATTATTATATTTATTTATTTAATAATATATGAAACGGCTCCTATAGTGAGCAGAACCAGGTGTCATCACAGGCTGCTCATCTAGCATGATGTATTTAATCATTTCACCGGTTACTTGTGCCACAGACATATATACATAGATGCCCAGTGGACTGATGCTGTCTATTGGAGATGATTAGATTAACCTCCAGTGCATTCATTTCTACTGAGGAAGGTGCTCACCCAACTAAAAAACAAGTTTTATCAAGCTTTTTCACAAAATTAAACACAAGGTACGGCATAATAATTCTAATATAAATATAATTAAATAAAAAAAATATTAAATATAAAATCCTATCAGGTAGGCTAGAAAAGTTACTAGTAATCTCATGCAGGGCTGGACTGGGACAAAAATTCAGCCCGGGCATTTTGATTGGAGACCGGCCCATCACCTGGTTTTTTTGGAAAAGACATTAAGCCTTACGCTGTTTCTGACACACACCAACGTACACTTTCTTATTGGTAATATTTATGTATCAATCTAATAAACGTAAACCTACACCATCCTTCCTATCCTGGTATTCTAAAAAAGTAGGGTTGGGGGTAAATGATTATTTTTAAAATGATTATTCTGACGATTATTTTATCGAATAGTCAACTATTCTAATGACTATTTAGATGATTAATCTAGCGATTATTTTTCTATTGCACAATTAATAAAAACCAAAAAATCTTAAATAAATTCCTCCAAAAAATTGATAAGTTGTTACTGTAAGAGAATAAACACTACAGGCCTTCCATTTTGTATAACACTGCTTTTATTGTGTTGCGGTTGGTTATGTTCTGGTGACGTGTAGAACTTGGGAGTGCAGGCTGCTGCCTGAGAGGTGGTTGGAGACGGAGTGTCTCCATGCTGCTTTGTTTTGGTCACTTATGTGCATGAGGCAAGTGGTGTTACGACCCTTCCTGGGGAGTCAAGTGTAAAGGGTTAAATTTACCTAAATATTGCCTTATTTATTATCTCTTGATGTTATTAGTCCCTATTTCTGTGGTTAATTGACAATAGTTTCCTGAAATGTTTCTCCTATTTTAACTGTAAATCCTTCTAGCTGTTATATTTATAACAAGAAACAGATATTCGGATGGAATATTTTCATGTTTATCCGAATATGATTGTGGAACACACCCAGCATCATAATAAATGAAGTAATATTTATGCCAATTTAAGCCTTTATGGGTGACCAGGACACTGTGATCAATTTTTGGCAAGGGAAATGATCATTTGTTGCCATTTTTGAGGTGTTTATGAATGTGGAAGACACCCAGCATCCTGTGATGGCACTAATAACATCAAGAGATAATAAATAAGGTAATATTTAGGTAAATTTAACCCTTTACAGGTGACCAGGACTCTGTGATCAATTTTTGGCAAGGGAAATGATCATTTGTTGCCATTTTTGAGGTGTTTATGAATGTGGAAGACACCCAGCATCCTGTGATGGCACTAATAACATCAAGAGATAATAAAGTAATATTTAGGTAAATTTAACCCTTTACAGGTGACCAGGACACTGTAATGAATTTTTGGCAAGGGAAATGATCATTTGTTGCCATTTTTGAGGTGTTTATGAATGTGGAAGACACTCAGCATCCTGTGATGGCACTAATAACATCAAGAGATAATAAATAAGGTAATATTTAGGTAAATTTAACCCTTTACAGGTGACCAGGACTCTGTGATCAATTTTTGGCAAGGGAAATGATCATTTGTTGCCATTTTTGAGGTGTTTATGAAGAGACCCAGCAACCTGTGATGGCACTAATAACATCAAGAGATAATAAATAAGGTAATATTTAGGTAAATGTAACCCTTTACAGGTGACCAGGACACTGTAATCAATTTTTGGCAAGGGAAATTATCTTTTTTTTTTTGCCATTTTTGGGGTGTTTATGATGATACAGTAGGCAGTATGAGTACAGTAACATCAACAGATAATACATAAAACCCTTATTTGGTCAATTTTAGCCTCCATGAAAATCTGAGCGATTCAATCACTTTTTGGCAAGTAAAATGCCATTTTAGTTGTCTACAATTAAATCATCAATAAAGAATTTAAAGATATTTTGAGGCGTTTCTTATAGGTAAACGGGAGGGTGTAGTCTATTTGGCAAGTGACCAATCTTAATTTTATGTGCTGAAGTGCTTTTATCTTGTTACTTTTAAATAGAGCAACGTAATGTTTAGCAACTTACACAGTGTCATTAAAGCCAAAGCTTGATCAGTTTAAATACTATTTTTCCAAGTAAAAATGTGCCCCAAACTAGTTAACTGTGGCTCCATGTCAAGTGGACTAAAGAAAGGAAGGGGAAAAAATTAAATCGCTGGAGAATTGTTTATTTACATTTATACAACGTTTACATTCAATACAGGGCGCCATTTTACATTATTTATTTTTTTAGTATCAAGGCTGTAACATAAAGAAAGCCAGTTCTTACCACAAACCATCTTTCAATCGCAAATATTGCAAAAAGGATTAATATATCCTCATTGTGAACGTTTAAGACAATTAGCAACACTTAAAACAACTTCCGAACTGGAAAAACTAACGTGGCAAGGTGGATAAACGACGGCCCGGGTTGTATTCGATCCCTAGACTTTCGGGGTGAGAGTCATACGCTCTAACCAGTCAGCCAAAGGAACATCCCCTTGACCAACTATACAGGGTGCAAGATCAATCAAGACATTGTGACAGGATGCTCACACTGCCACATCTTCCTCCCTCTTTCCACAAGCACGTCCTCGTGCTCCCGCGCAGGGTGCCACAAACACTGCCACACTAATATCCGCGATAAACATCTGTTTAAGTACCGGAAGAGGTTATCTTTGCTTTCTGAATGTCCATATTGCTAGATATGCTGAGTTTTAGGGCGAAATCCTGGGGAATTTTGTCTAGAAATGCAATTACCTAACCGTGCGCGATCCCGCGGTGGCTAATCATTTTTTGGCAGCGAGTCAATTTATGGCACAACACCGGCTCGGGTTTCTCCTCCTCCTCCCTCTTTTCTTCTCCAACCTGTCGCTGGGCTGAGGCTCCATCACTTCCTAAATTGATTTTACTTGAACCTTCACTACCAAACAACTGTGAGATTTTAACACATGTGCCAGCATCAGCCTGAAGGGCCAGTTTCTTTTTTAGTCGAATTTTCTCCGCTTCTCCTTTCCGTTTTTTGTTCTCCATTTTGTTAAGCTCGTCTGTCTGTTTACTGAGATTCACAAACAACTGGCGGGTGCATCAGACCTCTGGCTATTGGTCCAGCCCAGAGTGTATTATTACCAATTGGCCAATCCACCAACTTTTACGAGGCGTCGCGTGGGGCGGTGCGGGCAAGTTGTCTGCAACAACTAGAGGCCAGGGGAAAAAAAAAAAAAAAAAACAGACACCGGCCCATAAAAGATGAAAGGGTCGGCCCAGCGGGCAGTTGCCCGCTATGCCCTATGGTCAGTCCAGCAGTGATCTCATGTGATCTATTTTCAATAGTATGCTGGTTGTTGTAACCGTAGGCTACACAGAAACGGGCATAGTTGCTCACTTTGCATTGACTTTGGAGAGAGAGGAGACCCATCCAACATGGCGATGACGCTGTTTCTCGCTAGCGCCTAATGGGGCGTCTACACATTCATGTCTATGATTTGCGCAGCTCACTCTCCTACAGACGACTATTGTGTTTGATGTGTTTTTATTTCTTAAAGACTCACCTCACACCGCCCAGAGATTCTTCTTTAAAACTCGTATTAAATAGCGAGCGTCCTCCGCACCGTATCTTTTGTTGTGAGATGAAAATTTTACATCAGTTGTCACAGCGGAAAAGTTCAGCAGACATGTTTGCTTACATGTTTGCCGCTGCATGCCAGCACACTGTGAGAGAAGGGAGGGGGAGGCGACACGACGCTCCGTTCAGAGTCTCTACAGACTCTACAGTAGCAGCCCCAGTCAACTGGTTTGATCCGCTCTGAAAGAACGGAGATCAGGCGCGTGCAGCCATCATGCGTCACTCAATACAGCGTCCGTGCGGAATCTCGC